AAAACATGAAATTTTGGCATAATCTTGAACCTAAGTGTTTGATATTCAAATTTCGCTTTCTGGGCCAAAACTATTCGAATTTCCTCACTACCGGAGTTTCAAATAATTACGAAGCCACAGGTATTTGCGCAATGTTAATTGGGCAGATTACCTTGAAAAACATTGCTGCCGTATTTCTGATATAGTTTTTTGAAAGTATCTCAGTTTTTAATAACAATTAATTTCTTTTACGATTTGTTCTGTACTCCTATAACAGCGCCAGACAGTACCTCCAGAGGAATGACGCCAACTTTGAATCACCCTGTATATAACGTGACTTTTTCGTAGCTTTGGGTTTTTCTCATTTCCAGAAATGAGCTAATTTTTAAAATCCTTGGTTTCTAAATATGAGCATATTTGTTGCAGACGCGTAAGTTATAGAATAAATATTTTCAAACAATAGCGCAAGTTCAGCTTCGCGAAAAACTTGAACTTTGAAAACACTAACTACTCGCCGGCTGTTATAAATCTTGATTTTTGCCCAATTTCCAAGTTGGGTTTTTTGACCGAAAGCATCTCGCAGTATTCTTGGATCAAGTGCTTACAAGACACCCTGTATTGTTTGCAAAAATTGCAAATTGAAATGCAAACAAGACCTTTGCAACCAATGTAGGTACGTGATTGAACTGTTAGCTTAAATATTGATTTACTGAACTAGATTTAAATTATTATGTACTCCAATGACTCGAATAATGTACACGAGCTAAATGTGTTTATCGAGAGATTTACGCACTAAATCTATAGACTAATCCAGATTATAGCAGTGTTGGTTTGCAAAACCATTAGGTATTTAAAAGGCCATTAATTACGGTTATCGGTAACTTGTTGGCCAATAATAACGTGATAAGGTCTATTGTTAATTGGAAAAATGGTTGCGTCTAACGCTTCCAACTCTACGCTGAAACTGCGGGGTAAAATAAAATATTTCAATTACCTACAATCAGTTGGCGGTACTTGAAATATTCTGAGTGTTCGTTCATCTTTATCCATTGTTTATAGCGAGATAAAGATACACAAACATATGACTGTTCTGTTCATCTGCACTCTTATGATTTTACAATCCAAAATTTCCAGCCCATATAATTAATAACAATGGAGAAACGAAATGTATTGACAGGACACTTTAAATGAGAATTAGTGTTGCTAAAAAGATAAATCGTTTTCAATGGTTTTATCAAGGTGATTCCATTTAAATATTAGCAATAGTTCGGCTGAGAAGCCACAAAGTTCTTGTTTGCACTTTTTATTACCGTGTTTACAAAGCCAGTGTTCGAGCAATAATTCATTTGTGCGACTGTGTATTGTGATAATAATTGCATTCTGCGGTAGATATTTGCTGGACGACGCGCTTCAGCTGGTGTGCGAGTGTAAAGGCAGAAACACTGATTGGATGAAGGAAAGATGAAATTTGCCGAACATCTATCCGCTCATATCACTCCAGAATGGAGAAAACAGTACATAAACTACGAAGTAAGTGAGCGCAAGCCTTAGAATAGTTTTTAGGAAAATTCAATAGTTACGTTGATCTTGGAAGAAACGCCTAAACTTGTTACTGATAATCACATTTCTTTGTTTTTACCTGTGGTTTTTACCAGATAAAGCTTCAAATTAGGTTATGCTTGACACATGACAATTTTAGAGGGATCATATGATACCAGAGAATGTTCCGATTTTAGTTCTGAACGGAGTAAAACGCGCAAAATCCTCTATTTTCACTTCTCAAAAGCGCTCCATCTCGTTGTGTAGAAATGTGCGCTCTAGCTCTAACTCGTCCTGGAAAATGAGCAAAAATGTGGCGAAAAACGTGCAATTTTTCCGATATTCCAATTTTGTGTATTCAAGTACGTTCCACTTACTGACCAAACCTTCTTAAAAATGTTTTATTTAAAAGCAGCGCAATGTAAAGAAATAAACACTGAAAACAATTTTTGTACATTCTTTTTACTTAATTTCGCAATCTGACATTGCATAAGTGCAGCAAGTTTTTTGAAATTGGCTCATATGAACTTAAGAAATTATTACAAATGTTGATCTGTTAACTGCACGGAAATCTCCATTTAAATCACGGCTTATGTTTTAATAATAATATCTGCTAATGATCGACCTTTTCCGTTTAATTCCATCTTTGCTTCGTATGAATGTTTAAAATGTCTCTGTACATTAATAAAATTATCAGCAAAATATAAGAACGGAAACTTTCTCCTCAATCACTTGCTTGATGTGTCCATTATCAGACACAAAACTTTTTACTGTTTTGTGTCCGATAATGGACAAAATTAATACTCCAAATGCATGCCAAGGCTTAAAGCAGCAACAACGCTACACATAAAAACTGATGATGGTGGAAAAATACACCGAAACGTATTTTGATTAATAAATAAAGACAATAAATGACTGAAACCCAGGAATGAATTTGATTTGGAATTTAAACGCAGTAAAATCTCCTTTTAAGTCACGACTTATTAATTTTGTATTTATATATTGGTGTTAATGGATCAGCTTCCACTGAGCTTTAAATTATTTTTTTGCCAGCTTTTCATTCAAACTATTTTAATGTTCTTTCGACGCACGATCATTCTCTATGACTTCTTTTTTAAATTCTTATTCGGGTGATTAGTTCTATCAACCTAGATAATAACAATAAAAGGAAAAGTCATACTGAATAATTAATTAACAGGCCAAATGCACAATGATAAAATAAAACGTACACAAACAATTTTTTGTAATGTAGGAGATGAAGGCCATGTTATACATGGCCGTCGAGCAAGCCCCTTCGGTCGAAAGCGTAGACGCAGAAGACCTGAGGAAGCATTTTGCCAATTTTGATGAGCAATTCTTCCATTACTGCGACAGCGAGCTGAAGAAGATCAATACATTTTATGCTGAGAAGCTTGCCGAGGCCACTAGGAAGTTTGCCACCTTAAATAGTGAACTCAAAGACTCGCTGAATAATATGAGATTAGGTAAATAACACCAGCAAATACCTTATTTAACTGCTCGCTGATTATGCGAAAATAATTGAAATAATCCAAGTATAACATCAAGATTGGGTCGACATCGTTGAATGCTTCTACACCCAGGCCAATGTTATGTTCATTTCTTCAGATACTTTGGTATTGAATGTGCGTATATTTTTGCAGGTCCGAAAAGAGATAAGAAGAGAGTTCCAGCTCGCAAGCTGCAAGATCTAAAGCTGGCTTTCAGCGAATTTTACCTCAGCCTGATATTGCTTCAAAACTACCAGACACTTAACAATACGGGATTCAGGAAAATACTCAAGAAACATGATAAGGTGCATTTAAGTTCTATGGCCCTTCCAAATGTTTGCATGAATGTTCAATTGTTGCAGTTACTTAACACAGATGTAGGCACAAAATGGCGAGAAGAGCACGTTGAAACATCTCACTTCACCAGTAATAAGGATATAGATAATATTATCAATGAAACGGAAAACGTGGTAACCAACGAGTTGGAAGGCGGAGACAGACAAAGGGTAGATTTCTCTATTATTATGTGATTAACCAATGAAAATAAATATCGTCATTTTTTCCAAGGCAATGAAACGACTTCGAGTGCCTCCTTTGGGCGAGCAGCAGTCACCATGGACCACTTTTAAGGTTGGCCTCTTCTCAGGAAGTTTCATTGTTCTTTTAATAACCGTCGTTTTATCGGGTAAGTTTGAACCGAACAGTGGAATATCTGCAAGAATATTATCTTTTTAAATACATGGCGCACTCATTTATGATTCACACCGTTAGCTTATTTTTCGCAATGAAATCCGAGATGCAGAGGAAAGAAAATACAACATCTAATAACAGAAATCATTTCTAAGCAGCGGTATTCTTGGGATCGAATTTACATGCACAGTCCACTAAATCGTCAAAAAAATCAAAACTATCAAAAAACTTCTGTTTATCTATGGTTTACTTAGTTATTGGGACAAATTTATTAGTGGAGTAATTGAACTTTGAAAAAGGTACATTATATCGAGTAGAACACATTTTTTCGAGGCGCATCGAACGTACGATCTTTTTTACGTTTTCAACGGATTTTAACATTATTTATATAAATGTTTTTTCTTTTATATTCCAGCCATATTCCACGATAGTGATAGCAACGATAATCTCAAAATAGCGTTTCGCATGTATCGAGGACCGCTCGTACTAATCGAATTCATATTTCTCATCGGCGTTAACATTTATGGATGGAGATCATCAGGAGTAAATCATGTGCTCATATTCGAATTGGATCCGAGAAATCATCTCTCTGAGCAGCACTTAATGGAGCTGGCAGCAATTTTCGGAGTCGTTTGGGCACTAAGTCTACTCAGCTTCTTGTATAGCGCCGCTCTGAGTATACCTGCTTACGTTAATCCTTTAGGACTCGTGATTATTATGGCTGTATTTCTATTTAACCCTCTAAAGGTGTTTAGACATGAGGCCAGGTTCTGGTTGTTAAGAGTTTGCGTAAGTTTGCGGCATCTTTACGTTACAAGAGTGCTGATAAGTGATATTACAGGGAAGGATGTTCGCAGCTCCGTTTTTCCATGTGGGATTCGCGGATTTCTGGCTAGCCGACCAGCTCAATAGCTTGGTAAATGGACTACTCGATGTACACTTTTTAATTTGTTTCTACTTCACTAATGGCAATTTTCTGGAAGCAGGAGGTAAGCACATTCTTAACATTTAACATTTAATTTCTTTAAAACCATTCGCAGATACCACATCGTGCATGGAAAAGAATTTCTTGATCAGGCCCTTGGTCAATTGTATACCCGCATGGATCCGTTTTGCTCAATGCCTCAGAAGATACTATGATTCCAGGGAACCGTTCCCGCATTTAGTCAACGCTGGAAAGTATTCTACTACCTTTTTTGTAGTTATTTTCGGCACTTTGAAAGGCTATTATAAAGGTAAGAGTTGGGCATTGTATATCAAGCATTAAGTAAAAAGTAGTCTTACAACAGAACAGTACAATTTAGCATAGAACCGCTCAACTTTACATCAGGGCTGCTTGAGGAAAATCTTTTCTGCCATAAATAACAAATGGTTCACTTTCAGCATCGAAATCCTCGATAGAAAATTTGTTTTCATATTCAGTAAATTTATCAAATGCAATCTTCCAACCAAAATGAAAAGCTGCAACAACGCAAATTTAAAATCAATGCAAATTTAAAAACGAAAACCATCAAACTTCAGAAAAATGTTTAAAAGTAAAAAAGTTCCATCACTAAATTAATCAATTTTTTCTATTTGTTTTTGAATTTCGTCAATTGTCACTAAGAAGTGCGAGGCAACGTAGAGAACAATAACCGAAATCAATTTTTTTCTTACAGACGATTACACATCAGTATTGGACAATCCATATTACATAATGTGGATTTTGTCGCAACTGGTCAGCTCTACCTACGCGTACATTTGGGATATAAAGATGGATTGGGGGCTGCTGGATAAAAATGCGGGTGAAAATACTTTTTTGCGTGAAGAAATAGTATATTCATCCTCGGTACGTTCAATATTAGTTCAGATTAAGCAAACATGTAGTTATCAAAGGAGGGCGGCTCTCATGGACATTGATGGCTTGAGTTTCTCCGGCTTAGAAGCCTTTGTATTACCATCTATGTCCGCAAGAGCCGGGACCTTATTTAACTAAAAACTCACCGCATGGAAGAAAATAATAATTAATGTCAACTTTCTGTCTTTCATTTGTAGTTTTTCTATTATTTTGCCATAATCGAAGACTTTGTCCTGCGATTTACTTGGACCATTGCAATATACTTAACGGAGTTCAAATACATCAGTCCAGATATGATGACATCCATTACGTCCCCACTTGAAGTGTTCCGCAGGTTTGTGTTCTTTACACTCATTTTAGCAGGTATTATAATGTAAAAAATAACTTCAGATTTGTTTGGAATTTCTTCCGCTTGGAGAACGAACATTTGAACAATTGCGGTAAGTTCAGAGCCGTCCGGGACATTTCGGTGGCTCCTATCGATTCATCCGATCACATCCAAATTCTTCGTATGATGGACGAGGATGATGGAGTGGCGCATAGAGGTAAAAAACAGAAAGCGCCCAAAAAGAAAGAGGACAAAATGCTCCTATTGCCCGACGCCACAATTGTCAACTTTAAAAATATTCCTTTTTCGGGCATACAAGGTTGATTCAGCAGTTTTTTATATCGCATTCATGCAGTAACTTACAATTAGCTTTAGTTAGTTCCTTTTTACAAGTGAAAAAAGACGTAGGATTTTTGAGCTTTTTACATACGAATGTATTACGGAAGTGCCTTCAATAGTTTTATACATATACAGGGTGTCATCAGTTGGTGTGCATACGCAACAAATTTTACTTTCTTTCATAAAACAATGAGGTTGTGGATTTTTTTACATCTACATAAAACTCAGAACCTTGTTTGATACAGTCAAAATACGTTTATTATTTCTGATTTATCAGTCAAAAGCAAGTGGTTTGCCTGGTCAAACTTGTCAAAGAAGGCTAAAAGATATTGTTGCAATAAAAACCTCAATGAAAATTAGATTCTACAAACTAATTTCTGGAATATTCAATCTCCTCCGATGCCACCCTGTACTTTTTTTTTAAATGTTCTCTGGTAGTTTTCTCACAACATCGAAGAAGAAGTTTATTTCTTGAATAGTATTATAGACTTTTTATTAAAATGCCCACGCACGGTGAGTAGCTATAATATAAGACTATACATGATGATTCAGGATATGTGTAGAATAAACGGTATATGCACATCTGTCCAGATCCGATTTTTATTTGTTTCAGAGATTAATTGCAATTTAAAAACAATCAAATCATAATGACAATATTGTACAGTTTGGAAGACACCTGGATCACCCTGTATACATTAAAATCTATAACCCACATTCCTTATTATGTTATAAAAAGAAACCAACACATGCAGGTTGTCCCAATTGTGTTTAAAAAAATCTTCCGTGTCGCATAACTTGAATAGCATATTTTGTCATCCCTTTATCTTATTCTCACAGTATTAAAACGACCCATTCATCTGAGACCAATTTGAACCACACTGTACACATATACATAAGTGTACTTCTCGAATTAGTACTTAAAATCTATTAAAGGTACTTAGTCATCTCTCATGAAATAGTGATAGTGAAACGTGGTTACCCAAGCGCCAAGATATTTTTCCCGTTCTAAAGTGCCACATTCCTCCCTTTTAGCATGTTGCCCAATTTTACTCAATGCAAGTTAATTGCCCAATATTACTATTATCATGTAAGATTGTTCAGTAATAAAGTATATTTTATATAAGTGGAATTGTTCACGTATGTTCCCATCCTTTAAAAACATAAGTCCCAGATCGAATTATTTGTGCCAGCGCATAATTATAATTACACTTTGTCTCGTGTTTTGGTTTATTGTACAAACAGTTTATCACAGTATTTACTATTTTACAAGTGAATTAAATGCATAGTTTGTTAAGAATTGCTGGCAATCATATTATTAGAGCATGTTTCATACCAAGCAATCTTTACTGGGGCTCCTTAGACTATTAGAAGAAGCTATCGGTTCGGCAATAACAACCAACCATTGAAGACTGGGTGATTTTTTAGCATGCTGTGCTTTTAGAGAGAAAGTTACGCAAAAATAGTACGTTTGAGTGTCAAGAGATAACGATTTCAGCCTGAAATTCTACGAAACATGCATCATCCATTTGAGCAAAGCTATAAATTATTGTGGTGAAAACTATTTAAAAAGTTGCCACAATTTTACGATTAAAATTGTGTGCGACCCGCTAAAGTAACATCATTAAAAAAAGATACAGTCGCAATAAAATGGAAATACCTTTGCAACAAGGAGAAAGTCGTTCCACTATTATGTTTCCTTATGGAAATGTAAATTAACGAGCCGAGCTTTTTTTAATATTCTAAGGATCCGAGATAGTGGTCGCTTCGTTTCTGTTTAGCCCCACATTTCATTAAATTCGCCTAATACTGTATTCTAATTTACATAATACTTTTACTAAAAATATTGACGAGCAACAACCGAAAGGAAAATAAAAATACTTACATATTGCTTCGAATTAAAGATCCAGTCCTTTGCCCATTCCGGCATAGTGATCGGGAACTTCCAAGAAATATCTGTGCATCGCCTCGATAAACCGTTTCTGATACTCTTCCGGTGATATTATAGTGGGAAGTTTGCCTTGTCCGCCGAGAATTCCCGTTCTTTTAACTATGGTTTCTAGCTTTTTGTCCCAGGTAAACGTTCTGATGTAGTCTAGAAAAGAAATTCGCTTTGTTCCACAATGATTAAATAATCGCGATAAGAACCTAGGGTGAATAATGTTAAATGAACGAATTTTTTTTTGCAATTATCTTATGAAACTTTTGTAAATATATAGTATGTTGTTGAATCCCGTCCCTGAATGTCATGGCTAAAATATCATAAATATACTGGTGGGTGTTCCATAGGAAAATAATCATTTGGCACCGAAAAATTCATTGGCTCAAATCAAGCCGGTCTGATACTAAATGTTATCAAGGAAAAATGTCTGGGGCTTTTGTTTTGATGCTCAAAGATTTTAGTGAAACTTTTTCTTCTATAAATCGTCGCCTTTGCCAAAATGGTTGCTTTACCTAAAAAAAGGTTGAACATTTCAAAAATGTACCGAGTGTTGCTTTTTTATGCCATAAAACCATCGGTTTCCCGGTAGGCACGCTTGTGAAAATACTGCAACAATGGTGCCTAGTTTGTAGAAATTTCACTACAATCAATTAAAAATTAATACATAGAAACATTTTTTACAAATTTCAAATCCTGTATCAAAAACGCTTTGCTTTCGGACATATATTTATAATAAAATGTTTTAATTTCCTTTGCTCGATTAAAGCATCAGCTCTCCAAAATAAACAACATTCAAAAAGGTTTTGTTGCGATAAAAATATCATTTTGCATATTGATTCCTTCCACCGGGAAAGTCCAATTAAAAAACTTCTTAAACATACTTATTTAGACAAAATTTCATAAATCGCCCTATATAATTTAAGCGCTAAACATCGCCTCCTGTTCATTTACATTTACCTATAATTCCAAGAACCAGTTCTTTATTCTTCATATCCAACCCTACGAGGAGCGAATAATCCATAACAGATTGGGTAGACAGAAATTCCGTGTCATTTTGGATAGCAGCAAGTAAAACTTCTTTGGCATGCGGCAACACGTACAAGGGATTATCGCAAGTCACTAAAAACCATAAATGTAGCATTCTCTGTCGAATTAACCATTGGTAACACACTTTTTAATAGGTTTTCGTCAAGCCAAACAACTTCGCCCTCTTCATTGTCAGGTACCACCAATCTGTTCCTCATCGAGCCCTTTAAGTCGAATTTCTGAGAAACATTCCGGTTGTAGAACAGGTTTTCCATCACCAAAAGGTAGCATCTATGTTCAACGTTGGACGCGTTTTTGTAGAATATTTGATAAATACCCACAATTTTTCCCAGCAGCGTTGGCTGCATTGTGCTGCAGCATTTCTGCATGTATGTAAAATAATTAGCAGACGATTCCAGAAAGATTTGAACCTCCGCCCTTGGCATGTCTTTTAAAATAAATCTATCATCTGTAATAAACCAGATTAAAGCCGAAGCTTAAACACTTAAAACGCTTAAAACACCATCAAAACAAACCTTGCGTTTTTGAAAAACTTGAACCAGATTTTCCGCCCACGGCTTTCCAATGAATCGATCTGCTCAGTGATCTGATGTAGGTTTCCTCGCCGATTGGCAGCACGGACGATCTCAGATTCGCAAACTTATCAGCAAGATAAACGCGGCAAAAGAAGTTGCAAGTGCTATCCTGAAATTGGACCTCAATGTGGCAGTGCTTGTTCTTTTTCAGATCTTCAGAGGGTTTTTCGGAAGTGGCCGTTGCCTGCTCTGTGTCTCTATAACAAGATTTCGAAAAAGGTTTGATGGTAAATAGTGGAACACTCAACCATTGCAAAAAACCAGTCAGAACAGTTATAAAAACGTTACGACTGTTCCTTAAACCCTTGTGCCTCTCCTTTCGACCAAAGAGTTCAGGATTAACATATCGATTATATGCCAAAATAGTTTTAATCAAAATTCTGTACTTGATTTTGCTTAATCTCTTCGCCTGTTGTTGGTTTCGAAAATTCCCTATACAGAAACCAATCGAACCCGATTGGGAACAATGGAAAATGGGTAGCGAAATTTGTGCGAAAAAAAAAATTCAGATAAAACTTCAGAACACACGCAAACATCAATAGCGTTTTCCATAACCATATGGGTATATTGAAACGTATACGGAAAAACGAGCGGATCTGAAACTTAAAAGTAATTACAAAAATTAAACACTTACAATAGTTCGGTGCCAGGTGCAGCTAAAGGACTACCCAAATCCATCTTCGAATCCTTGTTACGCAAAAAGCCCAACAATCCGCTAACTTTCTCGTCATCAGCTTTTTCCTTATCTGTGTTGTTTTTTCGCTTGCTCACAGGGCTGGGTGTTTGGTCGCAATTATGGATTTTCTTGATGTCCAGCTCTTCAAGTGCCTTTCTGTACTCGAACGAGTTTAAGGCGTGCGCTATTATGGAACTGAGTTCGTTTTCGATTACTGGAATCGTGCCATAAGCTCCTGAAGGCAGATTGTAATGCTCATCGGGTGCAAATGGGCTCTATTTCCAAAAGTTTATTACTAAATTATCGTTGCAAGAAAAACATATTTTACCGGAATTAAATTGACTTGTCCTGATGATGGCAGAAGCTTATCCAGTATGTTTTTGACCGATTTTTCTTTCCTGATTATTTCCTTTTTGCTGTCAGTGGATTCTTCAATGTGTGTCCCTGAAGTATCCGACTGGTGTCGACTGGCTTCTTCAAAACTTTCTCCTGAAAGCAACATGGTTAAACATAAGAATGAAAAACAATCTGTGGAAACAGTGGAGAAACCTTTTTCAGAGAGAGCGGGTTCTTTATATGAATCAAAGATAGATTTTTCGGATGCCTCATTAGCCGGGCTTTCTAAGTCAGACACCGCATTTTTCTCCTTCCTTTTATCAGATTTCCTTATTGCCTCCCCCAAGTGACAATTCCAGTTCTCCACTATTTCGGCCAATGCTAGTTTAATGTTGGTAACGCTGTCCTGAAAACATGCAGAATTATGCTGTTATTCCAGAATATGAATTCAACAATGCCATACTTGTATCTTCCAGTATGACTGAAATATTGCCTCCTGCTCAAAAGCCCTATTTTCATTGGTTGGCGAGGTCAACTTCAGTTGCACTTCTTCTACCTAGAATTTCCGTGATTTAGTTAGCTTTACTAATCAGCGACATACAAATACCACTCACTTTCTGTTTGAACTGACTCTGCTCTTTAGAGAGCACCTGCCATACATTCCCAATGCCCTCCAGCTCTTCTCCAGGGACAACAGCCGCTTTTTTCTGGATTAGCAGGAACAAATCGTGTCCTTTTTGGGTTAAAGTCTTTATTTCCTCTATGAGCGCAGTGTGGCGCTCGGCTGAATTATCAGTTATTTTTATTACAGGCGGTGGAAGGGAAATTTCCCATATGTTGATCGACGAATACCTAGAACAGCAATATACATGTTTGAATGTTTTTAAGTCCATTATTCGAACTTACAATGTTTGTATCAACTAAGTTCGGTTGGCAGTATACTGCTACTGGTGGATTAATTGAAAATAATAACTTTTGGAAATATTCGAAATCGCTAATTTCAGGCTGAACCCAGCTGATGAGAGCTAATAGGCTCGAAACCTACCCTGGGGGTGCCTGAGATTAACTATTTCAAAAGCCCATGACGGCTCTGCTGATGCCGAAAGCCTTTCATTGTTAATAAAATGTTGTTTGGTTCAGTTCAATGTGAATAATATCCATTTACCAAGCACTAGTAATAAGTGAAATTTGTTTCCTTTGCGACCATCGTTTTTAGATCCGACGCGCGGAGTTCCGTGTTCAACTTAATCGGGTCAACACAAAAATGAAGTTAAATATCCATATGCTGCAATACTTACTTGAAAGAGGCCACGTAGTTCTTGTAAGCGAAATAGTGATAGTGATCGTGATGCAAACTGTGCCGACATGGACTTTGGCCTCGCCTATTAAAAATCTCCCCATGAAATCTAAGAAAAGCAAAGGCATTATTTTCCTCCCAGAAAAAAATGTGCAACGCACCTTAATTCCAAATATTTGGCAAATGAATACGACCAAGAGTCTGCAGACAGGGGAACCACTGGAGACACGCTCTGGCACTTCGTACACCAACTCCACATTACAATATTTTCTTCGGCAAACTCGTTGGTGAAATTATTCAACGACACAGTTACACTACCTGCAAAAATCGAATTAAAATTATGCCATTCATAGCGGCCAACGAGAAAATTGCCTGAATTATGGACAAATCTCCGAATATGCTGAACCATAGATGTGCTACACGACTTGGACGGGCACGTATAAGATGCTCTGAAGCAATACCTTTCAAGGAAGCATCCTATAGGTATGTCGTTTCGACCATAAAAATCCATGTAAACCACCCTGAATGTTCAATGTTTACAATCAAGTGTTGTTATAAGGATAAAATACGAATTACCAAGGATTCACACAAAATGCGGGCGCATTACTGGACTCGTGGCTGAAACTGTAAAATAGAACCGCCAATCGTTGGTGGTTCGACGGATCCAACACATCCATGCGCTTCTTTTCCGAATTTACCTTCACAGGCTTATCTGGGATCGGTCCGATAATGTTGAAAATTTCCTTCTTCGAGTATTGGCCTCCACAAGCTCTAAAATGTGCCAACATGTTTTGAATGCTGTTGCTGTCGACATTTCGAATTTTCGCCGCTTGAAACGGATGCAGTGTTGTTAACTAAAAAATAGATGATCATGAAGCGAATTGACTTTGTTTGGTAACGATTTTGCACTTATTAACCACATGCCGAATTAAACAGTAGGAACCCAAAATATATGTAAAACACAATGTATTTATAATGTGCAAAAACGCATTTAAAATTAGGAGGATTAGCAGGATTATATTAAAAAACACTATAATTCATAAAACATGAGTTTCTTTTATCTATTATTTATCTCCAACGAAACGCTTTTATCCAAAGAAATGTAGCTTGAAATTTGTATTTAAAAAATTGCGTAAAAAATCGATAAACATATCCACCTGCAATCAAACTCCGACTTTCTATATTAAAAAAAACAAGGTCAACAACACACAGGAACTTGTTTTGTTGGGTCACCCTGTACATGGTTTACTCGTAAGATAAAATCTCCAAAAAGGTGAGACATCCATATAGTTCAACAATGATATACAAGAACGCCTATACGTACATTTTTCTTGTTATTGTCCTCAAGTACATTTTCTGCTGTTTCGATATTCTTCCATTTGCTCTTCGTGCTGGTTTCAAACTGTTCACTGTAATACATGTCCTTATAGAAAAATCGCCGGAGGTCGCATTTTCTGCCCACGTCCGTTTCTAGATAAGGCACGGGTAACAATATATAAGGCGAAATGCACAGGATAGTGTCGTCCAGATACTTTTTAAATTTATTCGAAAATGGAAGTTGGGCAACCGTTAAAGTTTCGCCAACCAGAGATTTTTTTGAGGCGGCATCGTATGACTGCAAAGGATCAGAGTTGTCATTTACTGACTCAACAGTGACTTTCTTCGGCTCAGAGGACTGCAGCGGATCCGTGAATATTTCCATTTGCTTCGGAGTCACTTTTTTCTCATCCAGCAGCGATCTAATATTCTCACCCTCTTCACTTGACTGTTTGTCCTGTTTCTCGATCAAATCTTCGACTGAAATCTGAAAAATATTTCCAATTTGCCACACATTTTTCCAAACAAAAACTACTTTAGATTTGCGCATATCCTTACTCTCAATGATAAGTTTTACCATCAAATAATTAGCTGTTCAACTAACATTGCAAAAATTTATAAGGGTTTTTCTTAAGTTCTGGACAAACCGATAAATGAGGCGAATTTTCTAGCAAAATTAATTTTGTCTTTTTTGGCTGAAGAGACCTCATTATCAGGAAGGAAAGAAGAAAATCATCAGAAAATAATGTTTTTTGCGTTTTTGATTAAAAACTTTTAGTCTTGTGATTTTCGGGGAAAAACACGAGAAATTTATTTTAGTTTTTGTCTACAAAAAAGCTCTACAGTCTT